GAGCTCGAGGGGAATGGTTGTTCCCTTGGGAGAGTGCAGGCTGCTCATTCTTGCACTTAAAAATCAGGTAAATACGGTTTAACTGCCTGAGGTCTGCCTAAATTCYCTTCCCTAGTGAACACATCCCAAAGGCCCATCTTTGACTGTCCGTGTATATCTCTGCATGAACATAAGTTTTAATTAAATGTCTCCACACAGGTTTGCAGAGCGAATGGACTCAAAGCCTGCAGTCATGGATTTTTAATGTATATATTTAATGGAAAAAAACAAAAACCTAAGGCTTGTTACCCCATTTGGAGAGTAGTCCAAACCTCATGGGGTGTTTACAACAGGGCAAAGAGTTGTCCCTGCTCCACATGCCAGAGGTGTGTGGTGCTGGATCGTTCTTCCCGTGCACAGAGGTGGAAGAGAAAGCTTGTGCTCATACTCAGTATTTCAGTTTGTGCTTTGGAGTTCACAAGTAAGCTGGAAATAGAGAATAGTTTGAAACCATCAGTTTTTATTCTCTTAACCTTCAGTGGCACTAGGTTAGCACGGCTGAGGCAGCTGTAGCATTCCCGATTCTGTCCTGAGTTTTTTGCTTTTCCTTGAGGTTTCCTTTCCTTTATGCCACTGCTGCACAGCCAGACKGAGAGCCCATCTCAGAGGGTGTGTTATCATCTCTGTGCTGTGAGTGATGGGGCAGGATCTGTCCTGGGGATCTGTGAGCATCAGGGATGATGAGACCAAGGAGCTCAGGGAGTACCTGCAAACGGGGAAAGCCTTGGTGTGTCCGTATTCAGAATGTGCTGTCAGTCTGTCAGCAGTGTGGGAGAGGAGCAGGTCAGGATGAGACAAGGGCTTTTTCCAGTAGGAAATGATCCATAATGCCAACAGCTCCACTTCAGCTGYCCTAAAGGAACAGCAGACTGGTGAYTTGCTGTGATTCTCCTCWGATGTTGGACAGATGGGCAAGGCCTGGCACAGTGGGTTAGTGAGGAGCTGTTTGCCTGGTGCTCAGGGCTGGCACTGCTGCCCCACGGGCTCTCTGGCTYCTGGAGCAGGGGAGTTCCATGTAAATGATTAATTAGGAATTCCCTGTCTGGTGTGAGTGCTCGGAGTGGGGTGGCCTGGTGGGGTGTCTTTGTGTAAYGGTCCCGTCCTGCAGATGTTGTTTGGGAGTGTGGGTTCCAAGTCTTGCCAACTAACTCTTTTCTTTATTTGTACTGAGTGCATTTGAAGTTGCATCATTTCCTCGGTAAGAACAGTTTTATTTTTGACTGGAGTGTTTGTCAGGTGGGGGAAATCCTAAATGTGAGTGCTCTCTGGTGGTGGAGATTTCTGCTTCAGTGTTCCCATTTCTGTAGTGTGTTTTCCAGGAGCAACTGCATGTGAACATATCCTCTCTGGACTTAGATTTTTTTTTCAACTCCTTTCCCTAAAAATAAAAACTACAAAACAAAGCCTTTTTCTTGCCTTAGTGGTCTTCTTTCCTAGAGAACARTTTCTCTCCCTTAAAATGATTTATATTCTGTGACTCACTGTTTTTTATTTTCTCATTAGCAATTGATGTTTTAATGAGGTAATAAAAACTGGTATAAAAACTTCTTGTGAAAGAGCTGATGTTCCTCCTCAAAATAACCCACCAGGATTAAATACTGTGATTTTCTTTTGGCTGCTGAGCTACTGGAGAGAGGGGACTGAAGGGAAACTCATTGGGGCTGCAGCTCTTCCCTAGGGGCAGCTCACATCTCTGCTCCCTCTGAGCAGGGACAGGACCCAGGGAAGGGCTGGAGCTGTGCCAGGGGGATTTGGGATGGGATCAGGGAAAGGTTTTTCTGTCCCCAGAGGGTGCTGGCACTGCCCAGGCTCCCCAGGGAATGGTCCCAGCCTTGAGGAGCTCCAGGAGCATTTGGACAGCGCTGCCAGGGATGGACAGGGTGGGATTGTTGGGGGGTCTGAGCAGGGTCAGGGGTGGCACTGGATGATCCTTGGGGGCCCTTCCAGCTCACAATACTCTGTGATTCTGTGACATTAATACAGGAATGATTCAAGTGGAATTATTACAGGRAAATGTTTTGTTGGGGCACAAGCTGATGTGATTCCCATGAGACACAAAACAAGGTTTGACTGTGGGGGTCAAAATCACCCCAGGAGTGGATATGGGGGTTCCTTTTATCGAGGAACTGCGCTGGTGCTGCTTGGAATAACAAAACCCCAGTTCTGTGTGTTGCACSTCAGCACTAAAATGACTGTGCTGGCTGTGAAAAGCACCAAATGGATTTGTGGTTTTATTTTGTAACCTTGCCTTGCAGAGGAATCGTGGATTTAACACAGCTCGAACCTCGCAGTTTGTGCTGCCCTCATGGGTTGTTTTCTTAAGTTTTCCTGAGAGCTCCATGGGCAAGGCAAAGCCGGCTCTCCCACCGGAGCYGTGCCGCCAGGAAAACAGGCCCTGCTGTTCTTGGCCTGCTGCTGTGCTGAGCCACGCTCCGGGATGAAAAGGGGCTTTATCAGCCAGGAGGGGTGAGGAGCCGCAGCTCCTGGTGGGAACGTCTGAGCACAGCTCTGCAATTCTAACTCTGCTGCTAGGAAATCAAGAGAAATGAACTAACTGAGAGGTAAATGGGGGTGTCAGCTGTTCATAAACTCTGTATCYCTAAAGCCAGGCTGGAGAGGTGCCTGTTTGTCAAGCCGGGAGATGGATCCTTCCCCCTCATCTCCATCTGCCTCTTGCCACAGASTTGAAGACACAACTCATCAGAGCCCAGTAAAAGCTTGCAGAACTTGGTTTGGAGGCCCAGTGTGGGATCTGTCGTCTGAGCTGAGCTGGGGGGAAGTGACAGGCAGGATGTGAGCCTGCTGCCTGTGCCAGCATCCCAGCTGGAACCCCTCCGGGGCACGGCTCTGCAGGGCCAGGCTGGCAGGGCCCGGCCTGGAGCTTCTTCTTAGAGACAGAGGGTATTGGGCATTGAACAATGTCCCAGGGAATGGTCCCTGTCCCAGGGAATGGTCCCGGCCCCGAGGCTGCCTGAGCTCCAGGAGCSTTTGGACRATGCACTCAGGGATGCACAGGGTGGGATTGTTGGGGTGYCTGGGCAGGGCCAGGGGTTGGACTCAGTGATCCTTGGGGGTCCCTTCCCACTCAGGATATTCYCYGATTCYGTCATTCACTCAGGGAYTSTGAACTGTCATGGGAGGAAACTGAAACTGGGCTCTGGCAATGCAAGTTTACATAATTCATTACTTAAGGAAGAGGTCAGAGTATTGGGTGCTGTGATGGTGCCTGGGCATCACACTGCAGCAGGGATGGCCTTTGTTTCTTTATTTCTCCTCAGCTGAAATGACCCCCCTCACCCTCTGTGTGGCCATGAACTCTCCAGCTGCTCATGGGGCTTAAAACCTCCTCCACAATCTGCTGTATCTTTATTTTCAGCATCAGCAGTGCCTTGAGCTGCAGTTCTGTGCTGCTCGGCAGGGACTTGGGAGAGCAGCCTGTGTGTTCTCCTCAGGGTAACTCCCCTTTTTTGGGTGCCCATCTCCAAAAGGTGGGAGCATTCTGCTGATTGTGGTGTCCTTGTAGTGGTTTCCATTACATATTGATGTCCCTGTGTGACTTGATCTCCTTAATAGCAACACTGTTGTGTGGGTTTGGTTTTTCAAGCTCTCCCCTGTATATGCAGAGTCCCTCATGGGTTCCCACCCTGGTAGCTGATCCCTTTGCACCCTTGCCTGGTTGGGATCTTCCAAAAACTTAAATTTAGGGGTATTGGTATTGCTAATTATGTTGACCTTATCTTTTCTGAAACATTACTGGTACCTTTCRAACAGCATGTATCTCAAAAACATAAATACCTTTTYATTTTAAGCTCAGTAATGCTTTAGGAAATGCATATCAGGACGCGTTCCGTTAAAAGTGATGCAGGAACAAGAGAAGGTTTTGCAATTCTTGTGTCTTTTCAGTGCAGTATTCCAGGAGGAAGCTGAAACTGGAGGCACAAACATTTCYAGAAAGTGGAATGCTGCTTGCTGGATGATATTTCTTGAGTTTTATTACACCTGCTGAAAAYTGACGCTGCCAAGATGCTGCAGAAAATTCTCAAATGAACAATAGAAAATGTCAGGGCTGTCACCACATGGGGGTGGTAATAATAAATTCAACAAAGTAATGCTGGAATTTGTGCCCGAGTYCATCAGGATCCGAGGCTCCTGGGCTCTGTGGAGGGGCTCTGGTGCCATCTAATGTCCCGAGGTTTAAGTACAGCTGCAGACAGGGATTGGCACTGGAGATCCCGGGTTTGTGTGTTGATCCCTAAACCTGCTGTTGTCCTTTCTCCTCCTGAGAAACAAATGCTATGGGAATTCCTCAGCTGTTAATCTGGAATTATTTTGAGCTCTCCCGATAAGTAACTTTCAATGAAATGGGAATTTGTTTGGAAACATCTTCTAACTTGAACACTTCTTTTAAACTAGCATCAGGTTATTTTCTGTCTTGTTTACGGAAAGAATCGAAGAGCCAAGGAGAGATAGGAATGGTGTCATTTAGGGTTGTTTGCACACATTCTTACACATTTTCCCCTCTGGTTTAGCAGCAGTGATGATGCCAAAGTGCCCCCCAGCAAAAAGGGTAGAGCTGAGAGGCTGCAGTTCCCTCCTGRGCTTCTGTCTTTGTTTACTTTCAAGTGTGATTAGACCTCTCAGTGAGAACTTCCAAACCTCTGTTCCTCTGGCCTGAGCTGGGTCATGGACAGCTACAGAACATGAAAAAAGAATTTGCCTGCCAATCCCCTCTGTGAAGCAGATTAGATTTGCTCYTCACACTCGTGTTCACTTACTGGCAGTTGTAGGAACAGTAAATTCCATATCACGTATCTGGAAGTGAAACAGAGGTAGAAGTGTCCTTTGTAGGTGGTGGAACTTGCAGCCCTTGTACCCTCAGGTCTCACTTTACCTGCTGCTAGGCCAGCCCTGCTTGGGGAAATTCCGGAGCCAGGGTTTTATTGCAGTGTTCCCATAGGGTGATGGACAGAAGARTTCACCTGATGGCCTGGGCAGCTGCCTGTCCTGAGCTCTGCATTTGTCTGATTGCTGCCTTCTGTCTCCTCCTGAGCAGGTTCGAGAAGGGCCGGATTTACACCTTCATCGGGGAGGTGGTTGTGTCCATGAACCCCTACAAGAACCTCAACATCTACGGGCGGGACACCATCGAGCAGTACAAGGGCAGGGAGCTCTACGAGCGGCCTCCCCACCTCTTTGCCATCGCCGATGCCGCTTACAAAGCCATGAAGAGACGATCCAAAGACACCTGCATTGTCATCTCAGGTAGGCTGGGAGGGCTCTGCATGGTGATGAGCACTTGATCTGTGTGAAACTCCAGGAAGGAGAATAATGGTTTGSCTAATGACAGCGTTTTATAAAAGAAACTTCATTAATCTTAAAGCTGCTCATTTGCATTTGAATCCGTGTGTGGAGACCGGTGCAATTATTTCTTATCTCATTCAAGAGCTGGTGCCAGTCAGGAGCTGGATCTGTGCCTGCAGAGGGGTAATGTGAGCAGGAGCTCTGTGTCTGCTCCAGGGTGTGACCTGGGATCAGCAGAGCTGGGATCAGGGGTGACCTGGGATCAGGGGTGACCTGGGATCAGCAGAGCTGGGATCAGGTGTGACTTGGGTAAAGAGTGACCTGGGATCAGCAGAGCTGGGATCAGTGTGACCTGGGTAAAGAGTGACCTGGGATCAGCAGAGCTGGGATCAGTGTGACCTGGGTAAAGAGTGACCTGGGATCAGCAGAGCTGGGATCAGTGTGACCTGGGTAAAGAGTGACCTGGGATCAGCAGAGCTGGGATCAGGTGTGACCTTGGATCAGGGGTGACCTTGGATCAGGGGTGACCTGGGTAAGGTATGACCTGGGATCAGGTGTGACCTGGGATCAGGGTTGACCTGGGATCAATGGAGCTGATATCAGCAGAGCTGGGCTTGTCTCTGCTCAGGAGCTGCTGGTTTTGGTCCCTGCCCTGGCTGGCTGTTTGTTCCCTGCTCCACTGGCAGGCCRTGGCTCCGGCAGTGGGAGCAGGGCTGGTACCACAGTGATCCCTGCCTGGATCCTGGCACTTGGTTTCCTTGATGTCCCCGTGCTCGGGCAGCTCTGAAAGGAGAGAGCCCGGGCCTGGGGTGCTGAACAGTGGCCTCTTGTGCTGCTGCAGGCCATGCTTTCTCCTCTAACAATATTCCTTTGATCCTCTGTGTGCCAGCCCTGCTCCAGACCTGTGAAATCTCACAGCACAATTGCTCAAAGCCAGCCCAGCAGCAGCAGCAGCAGCCAGGCAGGGTTATGGCTGTGTTTAGAAAAGCTCCCAAGTGCACACAAAGATTGCTTTAAAAAGAAAAAAATCGAAACCCCCAGGCACTATTGGGGTAGAATTCAGGTCTTCTGTCCGATGACTTGCTTTGCTTTTTTTCATCTGTTTGGTCACCGTGGTGTTTCTGCCCCCAGGTGAAAGCGGGGCTGGGAAAACTGAGGCCAGTAAATACATTATGCAGTACATAGCAGCCATCACCAACCCCGGGCAGAGGGCTGAGGTGGAGAGGTAAGGCCTGGGCTGGAAAAAAAGGGAAATTCTGCTACTTGGGGATCTCTTTCTGTGGACTCTGGAGCACCACGTTAGCAGATGGTCTCTGCAGATTTATATTTAACTCCTTCAGGTGCTGCTTTTACTCTGGGAATMTTGCAACATTAATTGCTAAAATAACATGGAAAAGCTTATTTTGAAAGTTGAAACTTTCAAAATGAAAACATCTAGCAATACAATCCAGCCAATATCAACCATCTAATGGCAGGACTCAATGATCCTAGATCACTTTTCCAGTTTAAATTATTCTAAATCACTTTTCTTGGGGCAAATTGCCTGAAATTTGGGTGGCCTAGAACACCATGGTGAGTGCAAGGAGCATATTTCATGACCTTCCAGGCTCACATGATTCTGAATTGCTAAATGTCTCCTTCTGTCCTGGAGTAAAAGTTCTGGAGCAAAGAATGTGGTTTTCTGCTGAAACAGACTTAAACCTACCTCAAATGAACTTTTGAAAATGCCTTGAAGAGGAGTTCAGACAACTGATTTTAGAATTCAAAGATGTATAGAAATTGAATTTCTGGTGCTGTTTTCAGGGAGGGGTCTGGTCTTTGATGCAGAGCATTTGCTTTCTCTGAGGAGTGTTGCTGACAGCTCCCAGCTGGTTTCCCATGGGATTGCTGATGTCATCCACATCTGACCAAATGTGCCATCAAAGAGCATCACTGCTGCCACTGACTCCTTCTGGAGAAATGGCTGGGAAAAAAAATCCCATGGTGTGAGTGTTGAAATCTCACCCCGTTCCCTTTTCCATCCATCCCTGCTGCAGAGTGAAGAACATCCTGCTGAAATCCAACTGCGTGTTGGAGGCCTTCGGTAACGCCAAAACGAACCGCAATGACAATTCCAGCCGCTTTGGAAAATACATGGACATCAACTTCGATTTCAAGGGAGACCCCATCGGTGGGCACATCAATAATTACCTGCTGGAAAAGGTGAGGTGCTCACCTTTTCAGGGTTACAGCTTTTGCTGGAGTTACTTTTGCAATCCAGGCTTTGCCAGTAGAAAGTTTTCCATTCAAAAATGAACAGCAGGTGAGGTATGAGGGCGTGGAAAATCAATCCAGGGCTGAATTTTTCCTCAGGAGTCAGGAAAGTCACTGCAGTGCTGGCAGTGCCCTGTTCCTGGAGCACCACAACTTGCACAGCTCACTAGGAACAGGACTGTGTTACCCAAAGGAGTTTGTGTGTGGGGGTGTGTGAAGTTTAATCTCAGCCTTTATTTTGGACACAATTCACCCTCTGCACAACTCCTGCTCTGTAATTYCTGCACTGAGCTCTCCCTGGAGAAGGAGATCTCAGGGCTGTAGGGAGCAGAAGTGTGATTTTGGAATAAGGCCACAGCCTTGGCTGAGCTGTTGGTAGCGTTGTTTTTATATATGCAGAGTGATCCTGAGCATAATTCTCTTTTTCATGTCATTAAGTGGTGCCTGAAAACATTGGAAYATGTAAAACTGGAGAAAGCAGGCGTGGGCCATTAACAGATCTTGCTGTGTGAGACTCGTCTGGCTTTGATTACGTGTTTGACCACATCTGCCAACACCMTTTTTTGTTTGTGTTTCTTTTTTATTTCTCCCCTTATTTCCCTGTAGTCTGTTTTCAGAATAAACACTTCATTTTAAAAAACAAAACAACAAACCCAAACATTTAACTTKGGATACTTTGATGTAAAAAGAGGGCTGGGACTGCAGCTGCAGTGACTTAAATCCTGATGATTTATTTAYCCTGATTGTTTATTTCATATTCTTRACTTCTCCCAAGTTAAATTTCTTTCCATTTGAAAGCAGTGAAAGCTCTGGCCTGGACACACACAGTAACAGACAGTGTCTTTGCAGCAGGAACWCATCAAAACATGGAATATCCTGGGTTGGACAGGACCTACAGGACCATCCAGTGCCACCCCAGCTTTTCCCAGACCCCSCAGCAATCCCACCCTGGGCACCCCTGGCAGTGCTGTCCAAATGCTCCTGGAGCTCCTCTGGGCTGGGACCATTCCCTGGGGAGCCTGGGCAGTGCCAGCACCCTCTGGGGGAAGAATCTTTCCCTGATACCAACCTAAACCTCCCCTGGCACAGCTTTGTGCCTCACCACTCTTCATAGTTCAAACTTGTAGCATAAAATAAGGATACTTGGCTTGTTTGGCTGAATGTCTGCTGCATGTAACCCTTTTTGTGCTGTTTTACATTGGTTTGGAATGAGGATTCTGGAATGGAGCTKCAGCTCCCTAAAACAAGGCCCTTGTCAGGGCAGAGCATTCCTGACACCATGGTGGGGTAGGAGTGGTGACCACCAGGCCCTGAGCATTTGTCTGGAGTCACAGAGCCCTGCTTTTCATTTCCAGTGATTAAATAATTCTAAAACTGAAATGATGTTTTATTTGACTCTTCCTGGTGGAAGCAGGACAYTGCAGATGCTACAGAAGCTGGTGCTTTTGATTGTATACCTCAGTCTCCAGGGTTTGATGTGTATGATGGTGTTCYCAGGAGCCTRAGTGTGGGATGGGATRGATTTGGGGTGCCTGAGTGGGGGTGCTGATATCCCAGTGACACCCAGCTCTGTGTTCTGTTCCCCCAGTCCCGTGTGATCRTACAGCAACCCGGGGAACGAAGCTTCCACTCCTTCTACCAGGTTTGTGTTCCTTTSGTGTCCCCATTTTCCCAGGCACTTTGGGCAGAGCCCTCAGGGCTCTCACCCCACCRTGGGCTTTGCAGAGGGTTCCCTTTTGCAGCATCTTGGGTGATCCTGGGTTCTTTGGTTCTCTGTGGGAGTCTGGGCTGGGAGGGAGCCTGGGAAGATGGATTGTTTTCTGTCCTCCAGTCCCATACTAACACATTTATAAACTTAAAAGGAGGCTGACTAAACAAATATGGTAGGACATTGGATTTTGACTCACTGTTTTATTTGTAGTAAGTCTAATCCCTCTATTTTTCTCTTGAGGCCTTTAGTCCATATGGAAGTAATTTTGTGACACCAAGTTGACTTTCTTTGGTTTTTTGGGTGTTCTTTAATGTCTTCCACATTGTGTGGTTGTTCCCGGGTGTCCTTTGGGGGTCATGGTCAGCCAATTAGTATAACCTTGATTCTGCAGGGAGGGCAGGGTAGGTTTGTTTATTTTTTTTCCCACTTTTTCAGTGCTTCATGATGGCATGTTAGCACTTTCCTCACGGATGGGTCATTTCCAGGAGGAAAAGTCTCTGTGTGGGCAATGTGCTTGCCAAGACACAGCTGTGGCCTGGCACAGGTGTGAACAGGTCTGTGAGGGAGCTCAGGATGGGTTTTGTACAGCTGTGCCTCTAAAGGGTAGTGATTTGTGGTGGCAGAGCCCTGCACCAGTGCAGCCTCTGCATCTTACACACTTTATGTCCTGCTTCCAGATATTGAAGCAGTAATTAATATTGTTATGATTTTGCTTGCTAAGCAGATGAATGAGAGAGAAAAAAAAAAGGAAGGATTTTATATTTTTCATTCACCATTTGTTGTTAAAACACTCTTCATGCAGCTCCTGCAGGGAGGTTCTGAGCAGCTCCTGCGTTCTCTGCATCTCCAGAAGGATACATCAGCCTACAGCTACATCTGCCCTGGGGCACAGCTCAAGGTGAGGGGTCTCGGGGACTCAGGGACAGCTGAACATTGCAAATGCTGCTGGAAATGCTCAAAGCACTGCTGAGCTAGCAGGAGAYGAGATCAGTGGGGGTGAATAAGGAAAGGTGACACTGCTGTGCTGTTTGTCATGGAGTTTCTGGCCCTACACGACAAAGCACGAATGTAGAGTCATAGAAAAAACACCTGTATTCTGCTGAAAATATACAAATACACCCGTGCATGCTGCATTGTGTCTGCTAATAAACAGCAGTAAAATGATTTGCTGAWAAATGCAGGTGTAGATATGTGATCCATTACCAGTGGCAGACAGTCCATGCTCCATAACAGAACTTAAACTGCTTTCTGCACTAAAAAGCCATAAGGACTTTTTTTTTGCAGCAGCAGCAGCAGCAGGATTTTTGAGTTATTGAAGCACTGAGTCTTCATATCTSACTTGTCCTCAAGGGGGAACTCTGAGCAGGAAAGAAGGGAACAAACTCATGAAATTTTTAGGACAAGGTCCTGGACACTTCAGATTCATCTGGAGTTGTCCCTAGTGTTGTCCCTCAGGAGCAGGGTCCAGACCAAAGGCCTCCTACWAAAGTGCTTTTGTGAGATACACTTTGGTACAGATACCCAGAGACCTTCTCACATGCCTGGTCACTCCCTAAAATTCTGCATTGAAAACAAACCCAAGAGCCTGCAGGGAGCGAGGGGAGGGAGGGACAGGCTCATCCTGAGAAAGGTGGAGACCAGAGCTTTGCTGTTGCTGCTCTGCAGCCTCTTCTTGGAGGGTCTGCACAAATGACTGCACAAATCATCCCTGTTCTTCTGGGATTTTCTGTGAACTCTTTCTCAGTGAATTCCACTGGGAAATTGATGGTGCTATGGTGGATTTCTGGGGCTCCTGCTGCCAGAATATGTGTGTGCAACATAGGGGTCAGAGACCAAGCACGCAAGATGGTACTGGAATAAGCTGGGAAACCTCATGACAGTGTCTTGCATCTGAGAAACATCAAAGTGCGTCTCTATTTCCCATGGGCTTGTGAAATCCTTGCTTCCTCCCAGCTGACTTCCATTAAATCCCCCCATCCCAAATATCTCTCTCCCCTCAGTGTTCCATCAACGATGGGGCTGAGTTCAAGGCGGTCGCTGACGCCATGAAAGTGATTGGCTTCAAGCAGGAGGAGATCCAGACTGTCTACAAAATTGTGGCTGCCATTCTGCACCTGGTGAGCTCCCCACCCGTGGGTGTCCATCCCTGTCTCCATCCCCGGGCTGTTCCTCAGGAGGCCYTTACTCTTTACCAGCCAGCAGCCCAGATTTTCCTGCTGCAGAAGCTTTATTCTGGGAAAATATGTCCAGTTCACAGCTGCAGTGGTGAGAGGAAGCCCTTGGTGGAGCAGGGCACTGCAGTGATGGTCACATGGACTCCTGCATGTTCCAGATCCCAAACCAGATGTACCACTAAGTACTGGGAGCYGTTAAATGTTCTGCAAAAGGAATTGTTGGGGTTTGGCAGTGAGGAGATGGGAGCTTCTGTCTCTTTTTGCCCTCACATTCACCATCACCACGGTGGTTCTGCTTCCCTTTWTGGTGAAGGCTTGAGCACAGGAAGYGCAGGAGACCTCTTAATTGTTTGTGTTCTAAGGAAATCCTTCCTTCTCCTGGATCCTCCTGRGAGCCCCAGAGCCTCCTCCCCTGCAGTGTCCCTGTAGCTCAGCTCTTGTGTTTCACTGAGGAGAGAAGTGGGCAGGGGGAGGATGGCAAAGAACAGCTTTGTTCCTGTTCCTTCTCCTCCATGGGATGGCAGTGCAGGGAAGGAATGGAGGCAGAGCAGGGTGGGCCATGCAGGCAGGGTGGGGGACCACCCTCTCCTGAGGATCCCAGGGRTGTCACTGCTGAATCCTGGCACAGCAGGACCCAGCAGCAGAGCTGTGGTGKTGCAGCACTGCCAGTCCAGTCCACTGGCGCTGACCTCTCAGCTTCCCCACCCCATTCCCATTCCCATTCCCTCTGAGCCAGTGGCACTGCGCCCAGCTGTCCCAAGGGGAGCTGCAGTGAAGGCAAATGCCACATCCAGCAGTTGTGTACATGGTATGATTCCCTATCCCTGCACTCTGAATCTTGGGATGGTGTTTGATTAAAGCTCAGGAAGTGTTTGATGTTKTTTGTCCCAAAAGCTGAGCTGAACAGGGCAGGAATGCTTTACTTTGGGAAAGGCTTTGCTCTCCCAATGACGCTGGGGCTTTGTGAGTGTGTGAATAGGCAAGACCTGCCTGCCAGAGTGGCAGGAGATTCCCTGCCTGGAATAGCGGGTGGGGTACGGATGGACCTGGGCTGTGCTGATCCCTGTTAGTAAAGGGCACATTGAGAAATGCTGCTGCTTGCAGGGGAACCTGAAGTTCTCGGTGGATGGAGACACTCCCATCATCGAGAATGGGAAGGTGGTGTCAGTCATTGCTGAGCTCCTGTCCACCAAGGCCGAGCTGGTGGAGAAGGCGCTGCTGTTCCGCACGGTGGCCACGGGCAGGGACGTCATCGACAAGCAGCACACGGAGCAGGAGGCCACCTACGGCAGGGATGCCTTTGCCAAGGTCAGTTCCAGTCACCTGCCCTGCCCAGGCGGGTGACACTCAGCAAACACCTCTCTGCTGCCTTCGCCCTGGGGCTGAGCTGCTCTCACTGCAGCCCGGAGCGGTGGTGCCCGAGGAAGGCCTTGCTGTCAGAACCGCACATTTGTCAGTGCTCAGTCCCATGAGGATTCCTGGGTGGGTCTAAACACCCAGTGCTGGCTGTCCATCCTGCAGATGTCTCTCTGAACCTACGTGCTCCTGAGTTCTGGAGGGCTTTGTGGCACGGCCCCATCCCTGCCCTTCCAGCAGCTCCCAGAGACAGCAGTGTCGGGCACACCAAGGAGGGGCTGCAGGCTGGGCTGGCATCTGCAAATATGTTATACAGGGAGTAATTTCCTGTGAAATGGGATTCTCAACTTCATTTTGCAGTTAAATTCAAAGAGTAGAGAGTAGAATTATAACATCTATAACTCAGGTTGGAAATACAAAGTGTTATCTTTTTTAATTTGAAAAGAATCATAGAATAGTTTGCATTGAAGGGACCTTAAAGATCATCTCATTCCAGCTCCCTGCCTGGGCAGGGACACCTTCCATGAGAAAAGTGAGTACTGATGGCAGAAGTGACAATTGTTCCTCCTCTGCTAAGAAATCAAATGATAAGGGAGGAACAGATGGAGTTACGAAGGTCCTTGATTATTAACTTCTTTTCCMGAGATAATCTATTTACCCAGCTTCACAGCACATTTTGAACATGTAGACTTTGAAGACATCTCTGTCTACAGAACATTTTCTTTGTGAAAGGTGAACAGGATTATTTTCCTGTCATTGTGTTCAGTTGTTGAGTTTCTGTAAGTGACCTCTCACTTGCTCTTCACTATTGTTAAATAGTTCTCAGGAATGGTTCTTATTAGGCAGCTGAAARGCTGACTGGTATCAAATTAGGGAGCTGCTGCACCCAGTGACCTCACTGAGGTTTGGACTTGGTATAAATGAGTTTCAGAAAAAAGAAAAGAAATGCTTCCATAGAATATTTTCTCCAGTCAGTAGCTGCTCACTTTCAGCAGAACATTCCCTGCAGCCTTGGTGGAGGCCTGGAATGAGCTGTGATGCATTTCCAGAAGGAGCTGAGGGCAGTGCAGGCAGGAGCCCTCAGTCTGTGTTTCCTGCAGGCCATCTACGAGCGTCTCTTCTGCTGGATCGTCACCCACATCAACGATGTCATCGAGGTGAAGAACTATGACACCACAGTGCACGGCAAGAACACGGTCATTGGGGTCCTGGATATCTACGGCTTTGAGATATTTGACAATAACAGGTGAGCCGCCTTCTAAAGCCCAGTGTTGTGCCTTTACCTTTCCCTCAACACTCATCACCTTTTCTTCTCGTGTTTTTGCAGCTTTGAGCAATTCTGCATTAATTACTGCAATGAAAAACTGCAGCAGCTCTTCATTCAGCTGGTTCTAAAGCAGGAGCAGGAGGAGTACCAGCGAGAGGGAATTCCCTGGAAGCATGTGAGTGCTTTGGCAGGGGAGCCAGAGGTCAGGGGGAGGTCAGTGGACCAGCACAAGTCCCAGATCTGAAGTGGCTCCACATGCAGGCTCCAGTCGATGGGACATCTGTGTCCCTGCCAGCTGTCCTGTCAGGCTGGGCTCAGGCTGGGGCAGAGCTCCAGTCACCTCACCCTGTGGGAATCTCCTTGGGAATCAAGGGACTCCAGGCCACCTTTTGTGACACCTCTGTGATGTGCCACACACATCTCTGTGGGTTTCTCTTCTGAGTCCTTAAGGATGTTTCTAGTTGTTGGTAGTAACACATAAAAATCCTGACTTTTCYTGTTCAAACTCGCTTCAGAATGGCAAGGACAGGAGGTGCAGTGTCACTGTGGTGACTGCACACAGCTGAATTTTAAAAGACATTTTAAAGGGCAWTCTGCAGCAGAGATCTAGAGATATATCTGAGGGGTTTGAAAAACTGCTTTCTTTGCTGTTCAGTGTGGGAGAGCAGCCTGGAAWTCCTGATCTGGAATTAGAGATGTGCACATTCCGAGGTGACTGCTCCTCACYGTCACACCGGCTGCTGTGGCCAGCRCTGGTCCCCTGCCATTTCTGCAGCCAAGGTCACCAGYAGCCCTGTCCTTTGTTTCCTGCAGATCGATTATTTTAACAACCAGGTCATCGTGGACCTGGTGGAGCARCAGCACAAAGGGATCATTGCCATTCTGGACGACGCCTGCATGAACGTGGGCAAAGTCACAGATGAGATGTTCCTCGAGGCCCTCAACAACAAACTGGGCAAACACGCGCACTTCTCCAGCAGGAAGGTAACCCACAGACCCTCCCATCCTCTGCCATCCCTTCTCCACCTTCTGAGGTGCAGTGGAATAAGAAGAAAGGGGTTTCGGGGTGGCTGGGTCTGAGAGCTCCATGAGGAGCTCCATGCGCAGAGGAGCCCGGCAGAGGGAGCTGCAGCACGGCCGATTTCACAKCCCTTTCATTCGGGATAAAAGCAGCCGGGGCTCGTGCCTTGACATATCATGATGTCATCTGGAACCAATCGATGCTCGGGCTCGGCCCACGTGCTGCTCCTGCCAGGCTGCTCTAATACAGAGTGACAGTGAAATTATTCACACTCCTGCGTTATTACAGCGCTGCCATTTGGGCTTTTTTTCATCGTCATTGGCTGCACAACGTGCTCATCTCCCGCTGCACCTCAGAGCACCCAGGCCCCTCGCCTGGCTTTGTCTGAGCTACAATGGGCGAATTAAAAGGCTTCATTTATTCCTCACTTGGCAGCAGATTGCAAAATGGTCACCAGCCTGATTAATTTGAGAATCTTTCACACTGAGTAATCAAATCAGGGCCTTTAATTTATTGATGTGTCTGTATTCAGAAACATTGTCTGAAATGTATGGCTCAGAGTGCTGGTCCCCCCTGCTCCCCCCCACCCCGGCACAATATTTTATGTAGGTCAGAAATACCAAATTAGCCTGGTTGTGTAAGATATGTGCTAAAGGCTGCCTCGGGGAGGCCCGGGATAAACAATGGAGCTGGCTGGGGCTGTCTGAGCAGGGGCCAGGATGAAAATAAACCAAAACCACTCTTTCCTCCCAGATGTTGCTTTCCTTAAATGCCCTTTCACTGCCTCACACCTGACACCTCACCTGCCACGTGAACTCGAGCTCAGGGAGGGGGACAGGGATGTGGATTGCAGTGCTGACCCAGATTTCCTGTGCCTGAGCAGTGACACGGCACATTCTGACAAAACCCACCTGAAAAACATGTCTGGGGCCTAGTCTGGGTTCCTGTCTGAATGCAAACTGCTTCCTTTAGGGGTAATGCTGGGGGGATGGAGTCTGGGATCCTCTGCAGAGGGCTGTGGGGGAGTGGAGCTGTCTGCTCAGTGGATGCAGAGAGAGGAGTTTGGTTTYTGTTCTGTCCTTGCTTCCACGTCTGCCTGGGGGAAGGGGCTTGGCCATGGAGGGAGCAGGTGGTCCTTTAGTGCCGCGGCAGAAGGGGATGGAATTTCAGGAGGTRTTATGGGAGGCTATAAAATGAACATTTAAAAATAAAACCTGCTCGAGTCCTTGCCTTCAGAGTCCCCTCCCAGCAAGGAGACATTAAAGGACAGTGCTGGCAGCTGCAGCGTTCCTCAGCAGGAGGTGGTGTTGTCAGAAACTGCCTGCACGCCCTGAGAGGSAGACAAGGAATCCTGCTATAAATAATGTTTATGGAGGGGCTGATGGGTCTGCCTGGCTTGCTAATTTCTAGTTAAATCAGTGCAGCCTTGAAAACATTGACCCATAAACCTCTCAGCATAATTATTATTTTTTTGTCCCCATCACATCTCTGCAGCCATCCCAGCACCTCAGAGCTCTTCCTCAGTGCCAKCCAGAACTGCTGTGGGAAGCCTGAGCTTTCCAAGCTGGCCTCTTCTGACTGGGATTAAAACAAAGGGTTTGATTCCATCTCCCCCTGTGCYTTTGCAGGCTGCAGTGGTTCCCTGCAGATCGTGTAAAGTTCCACCCAGATGGAAGCTGTTCCCGAAGAGTTAAAGTGCTCTGTGTTTTGGGAACAGCTCCCATGCTCCAGCCCGAGTTCATGCTCCACTGCTCCCTGCAGAGCATGTTGCACACAGGCTCCATGTGGAGAAGCTCTAGGGGGCTGTGGTGCCCTAAATAGTCGTGTCCTACTTTGTGTACCCGGCTGCTCGGCACTGCCAGCTCCCTCGGCCTGGGGAAGGCCAAACAAACCTGGAGAACGCAGGTTAATGCTTCCCCCAGCAGGATGTGGGGCAGGATGTTGTGTTCCTGGTGGATGGGGTGTCCTTCTCAGAGCTGTCTCATGCTAACTGGGGTGTGCAGGTGTGCCAGCTGCTCTGGTGGCTTTTCTCAACATCACCKTTCATTTCCTCACTGTCTCCAAGTTCCATTTATTTTCTGTTGATGTCCTTTGGAAAGATTGAGTGCAGTGATAGACAGCCCATGAATGCCTCAATCTTCAGATTGTGGAGAGCATCAGTCTCAACACACTGATTGTGAAGGGAAGAGTATCAGAAGGTCCGTTCTGGTTCACCTGATGCTGTGTCTCCCACGACACTGGACAGTGGTGAATGTCCCAATGAGAGCCCAATGTGGGRCAAATGTGCAGGGATAACTTGACATGTTCCCATTCCCCAGGGATCTGCAGCCCAGGAACCTCCTGCTGTCCTTAACAGAGGGGGTTTTTGTGTGGTCTTCTTGGTTTTTTAAATTGACAAAAAAATTTCACAGCTCAGATACCCACATCAAGAGCTCCTTCCTTCCTTCCTGTTTCTCTCCCTCCTCCCTTTTCCATTTTAGCTTACACCCCTCACCTCCTGCTTTTTAAATGGCAAAACACAGTTCTCTTTGTCTCCCACTACGTCATCTCCACCTTGTTTGACTTCATCTCTTGAGTGTTTCTTTCCTCACCTGAGTTCATTGGCTCATCYTCCCCAGGCACTCAGTAAGCAGGGAATGGGCTTTGCCCTTCAAGCCAATTCCAATTCTCCGTGTCTTTTTGAGATGGAGGATGTTGAGTCTGSAAGGGACAGTTCCTGTGAACTTTGCCCTTTCTCAGTGGGAATCCCTGCCCTGCTGGGGAGTTTCATTTGCTCTGCTTTGCCCTCATTTAACTCCTGGTGCCTCCTGCAGCTCTTCCCAGCCAGCCTTCAGTGATTAAGTGCCCTCCCCCAGCCCCACGACCTTCCCCTTGCCCTCAGATTATGGCTCATTTCAGAGGCTGTGAAAGCCCAGGCTCCCACAGGATTCCCACTTCCCACCTTCCCAAATGTGAGGACCTTTCTGCAGCCTTTCCCAGCCCTCAGATCCTGCGAGCTGGCAGTGAGGACYCTCATGGAAGGGCTCCCAGAAACCCAAGCAGATGGTCATGGTGACAATAGACTCACTGGTCTTTTTTTTACTGATTTTAACTGCTTTGTCCAGTAGACACRAAGTTTGGAGAGAATCACTCCTTAGGGAAAAAACCAAACCAGCAAACAGMAAAATCCCTGATGGCTGTGTTAGGGCACCTTCAGCCTCTCCAGGGTTTGAGGAGTTTTAGGAGGAGCTTGTGCTGCCAGTTGTGTCCTGTCTGGTAGCTCAGGCACATTTCTTTTCGGTATTKACCTCTTTTATTGACTCGTTGGCTTGAGCTGTGAGTTTGGGTGGCTGAAAAAGGCACTTCCCAGCCCCGTGCTGGGAACACAGCTGCAGCAAGAAAAATGACTTTGTTTTCCTCCTATTGCTTCGTTTCTTCGTTTTCTCTGTGTTCTGCTGCACCTGGGTCATCCATCAGCTCTGCAGCTCCCTGCTCCTGCCGTGCTGGACTTCCCACGCCTCTGTGACCTCCTGGGGACCTTGGTGCTCACACTCCTTGGGCTCCTCCTCGTGATTAATTTTGTGTAAAATGTATTCTGGTTTAGTTGTTTCATCTGTTCTTACAGTTTGAGCYGATCTATTTTGTGCTCTCGGACACAGGTGGATTTTTGGAGTGTGTCTCCCTGCTCTTAATCATCCCTCCCACCCTACATTTCAGCCATGCTAATTTCCTCTTTTATTTCTCCAGGACTTTTYGTGGATAGCAAATATCTGCTCATAGCCCTCGGTGTTCTTCACAACTGCCTGCAAAGACTTAAATCATCTCCTGCTCCTTTTGCCTGTAACAAAATCCTCATTCTTATCTCATTCTCCCTTTTTAATTAAGCCGAACCTGATGGATTTTTTGGCTCCTGCTATTCCTGAAGGGACAAATGTGTTACAGGCACTGCTGCTGAACAGCTGCCATGTGGGCACTGGACATCTTCTTTGTACAGCAGGAATGGGATGGGAATTTGAGCYGGGAGCAGGGGGCTGGAGCTGTGGGGTCCCTGTTTGAGGGGTGTCAGGTGACCAGGAGGGATCTGGCTCCCAGCAGTTGGTTTATTCCTTGAAGAATGACAYTGCAATGGGAAGAAATGTAAAGGAAGACTTAAAATAGTCATAAATTAACTCGTGGGTGCAATGTTTTTCTCCAGGCACGAGTGTTCTTTTTGCATAATGGTGTTTCTGAGATAATATCAATTTCTTAATAAAATTATAGGCTCTTGCAGCTTCATTTGTACAAGCACATGTTCCTACAGCGCATCCATGAAAACATTATCCAGCCGTGGCTTTCACATCTGCACAGGCACATAGAAAGTGCAATTACTGTAGTTCCCAGTGCTATTTTGAAGGCAGGCTGCTCTTCCATGGAGCTTCAAAATCCAGGGGTGGTATTTTAGTATCAGTCCACAGCTGGTATTTTAATGTGTGTGAATTTATTGCAGCTTTGTGCAACGGACAAAACGCTGGAGTTCGACAGAGACTTCCGGATCAAGCACTACGCCGGGGATGTGATGTGAGTTCCCTTCAGAAATATAAAGTTGCACCTTCTATTTTTGTCTTCCCAGCAGCTCTGAAGTGGTACAATATTCTGATTTACTGCTGCTTCTGGTGCGAGCCAGAATAGCTGTCACACACAATTACAGAGCGCAGCACTCGCTTATCAATTAAATCTGCTGGTGCTTTGCTCTCCAGAGTGGGAATTTGTACTTGGAGTGAAACAAAAGGAGAGYGAGTGGTGGGGGTGAGGAGAGAGCAGTGCTCCAGGGGGAAAAAGGAGGGGAAAAAAGGCAGCAGTGTTTATGTGAGAAAGCTACACTGAGCTAATAAAACCTGCTTTAGACATCTGTTTGGTGKGATTATATAACTGAGGCTTTAATTCTCAATGGGTTGGAGCAGGCTGGGAGCACAGGGGAGTGTAASCTGCTAGAGGGATTGGGGCAGGAGGGCTGGGAAGGGGCTGGAGCCTGCAGGAATGAGTGCAGGAAGTGACAGCAGTGGGAATGGAGAGCGAGTGGAAGGGAAGGATGCACGTGGTGGAAACCATTTGCTGGGAAAGCTCTYGTGTGGAATATCACTGGAGTCATTTCATGGTTTAGGATTTGTGCAGCTTCCCATGTCAAAAGAGAGGGTGTTACTGAGGGAATAATTCAGGATTTCTTTCTTTTACCTTGAGATGATTTTACCTTTMATTTCTGAGGGTAACCAGTGTGATCACACTGAAGCCCGTGTAGCACAGGCAGGTTGTCTTATGGAGCTTTTGCTGAGCAATTCCTCACAGACATCCCTGATTTCAGGGCATGTTGGAGGAGAAAATACAAGGTGCCATCTTAGTGGTTTAGAACCTTCTGCACTGCCAGTGGCTGACAAATGGTGTGAAAGAAAACTGAAATGTGGAAGGAATCACAGATAGTTCAAGCTCACATCTTACATGGAGCCCTAAGATTTGAGGGTGGAGGGCCCTGGCACAGGGYGCCCAGAGAAGCTGTGGCTGTCCCTGGATCCCTGGAAATGCCCAAGGCCAGGCTGGACAGGACCTGGAGCAAATCTGGGGCAGTGGGAGATGTCCTTGCCCATGGCAGGGGTGAGATAGGATGATTTTTAAAATATCCTATCCCATGATTCTGGTTTGAGGATGGCTCCATGCAGGGATTTGCAGGTTGTGGGATGATCCCAGGGTCTGCAGGTTGGGTGCAGCTTCCCAAGGTGGGATTTGGAGCTGAGGAAACATCTGAATGGGAGTCACTGAATGGGGAGATTTTGGACCTTTTCCTTGAGGACAAAGCACTGCCTGCCTTGACACTTGACAAGAGATGAGGCTTTGAAACAGTGGCCTTGTGGAGTGGTGTTCCTGTGGGGAGGGACGAAGGAAAGAATCCCAAATGTGTGTGTGTTGATTCCCAGGAGASCTCCCCAGTCATTGGCCAGAGGCTGCTCTGGAATTCAGGCTCTCTCCACCAAGAGAGGGGCAGAGTGAACAGATTGATAAAGAAACCTGAATTTCTCTAGGATTTAACACACACACAYGCACACACACACTTACACRCTCCCACACACTCAGTTTGGAGGCAGAACCTGTGGGTTGTCTCAGCCATCACCTGCACAGCTGCAGGAGCTCTCTGAAGCCAGGTGTGTTGTTCCTGGGCTGGAGGTGGGAGCTGGGCCCACGGGTCCAAGGCTCACACTCTGCTCCTACAGCCATTGGTGATAGGGTGGGAGCAGGGCTGGGCTCCTGATTATCATCTGCTGTGTCTGTAGGAGTCAGGGATGCTGATTCCACAGTTACCAGCAGCTCACACAAGGACTTTGCTGCTTTGCAATTAACTCTGTTTTCCTTTTTGTCTGTAGTTATTCAGTCACTGGATTTATTGACAAAAACAAGGACACTTTATTTCAAGACTTCAAACGCCTCATGTACAACAGGTAAGAATATCAATGAGGTGAATTTTAATCTCATTTGTCAGAAGCCTTTTTTGTGGTGTGGATGCTCTGAGAGACTCAGGTTTTCAGTGATTCTGCCTTCAGTGTGTGTGAATAAACACATTGCTTTGGGATTTGATCTTTGTCCATCTGCCGTGACCCAGAGGCTGTTAGTTCAGTTTTTCAGGTTAAAGCCCCTCTTCTGTACATGCTGTTTCTGTTCTGGTGCAGCCTTTAATTGAACTAAATTTAAAGTGTTTGTTTGAAACCCACTGATTGTGCAATCAAGACGGTGCAGAGTTGCTTGTGCTGCCTGATTTGTCATTAACCAGTTGTAGATGTACCATCCCTGTCTGYAATCAGTGCTCAAGATACTGGGGAGCTTTGGTCAACAACAGATATCCCTGGCCTCAGCTAAAACACCCTGGTTTGAAAGAAAATACAGGGGAAAATGGACAAATAAGTTTGAATCCTTTCATGTGTGCAGTGACAGGAAAGGTGCAAACCTTGAGGTCGTGTTTGGGCCAAAGTTGCCTTGAGAAGCAGGTTTGAAATCACATCAGAAAGTGGGTGAAGTGCCCATGGAGCTGTTTTCCTTCAGCTGGCATTAAACCTGTCCTGATTTTGTCATCTGTGGCTTCCAGGGGCTCTGCTGAGAGAACAGTGGGTACAAACACCCTGCAGTGGTGGTCACTGTTTGCCTGGGCAGGTGTTAACTTGGTCTGTGGTCCTTTGGGTTGACTGGATGTGCTCCCCTGAGCAATCCCACTGTTGCTATTTTCAATCCATCCCATTGCCCAGAAACCTTGCAAAATATTTGCTCTGTGCAGGTTTTATTAAATTTAGCCTGTTTTCTGTGAAGTCTCTGGAAAATCCTGTTCCCAAACACCACTTCCAGCACACTGAAGCCTGTGACAGATTGGCCATTGGATTGCTGTAAATGTGCTCAGTTTTTGTCTGTTYYTGAACTCCTGCCATCCATCAGGGCCAGTTTACCTCGCCCTGAACCTTTCAAAAATACTGACTGAAGTGTATAAATTACTTTATACATCAAGAGAGGAGCAGAAATACAGCTTGAACACCRGTGACAGGTTCCAAAGGAGGGGGTTGTGGGTCTTGCTCTCCTCTTTGTTGATTAAATCCTTTCTGTTGTGTCAGTGAGGCAGCCCCTGCCTTTGATGSATCACTCTGAGGGATTTTCTCTGTCCATTGCTGCACATCCTGATCTGAAGGGAGAATGTGCTGGTATATTCTGGAATATTTTTCCAGAATATTCAGTTGTAAATTTGAAGTTGCTCTTGAGAGCAAGAGCTGATGTGCCCAGCAGTGTCACCCTGGCCTGGCTGATGCTCTGTGAGCTGGAAGCAGCAGTGGGTCTGGGTAGGAAGCAGCTGCTGGGTTGTCAGGGCAGTGGAAGTGCTGTGARAATGTGCAGTTAAAGAGATTCTCTCGTAGCTCCAACCCTGTGTTGAAGATGATGTGGCCTGAGGGGAAACTGAGCATCACCGAGGTCACCAAGAGGCCTCTGACAGCGGCGACTCTGTTCAAGAACTCCATGATTGCACTGGTGGACAACCTGGCACTGAAGGTAAAGATTGCTGSTTTAAAATTGACTTTTGGTGAGGAGAATGTGGCTTGTCCCTGGAGGGATTCCCACCTCCCCATYGCTGCCATCCATCAGGAGCTGAGGTGATCAAAGGCAGAGGAGCTTTGGCTGTGCCAAGACAAGATTTTGGCTGGGAAGGGCTCGAGGGAGGGTCACCTCCATTCCCCATGGAGAAGGTGGATTTTGGTTCCTTTGTGACCAGGGCATTTTTCACTTGTAGGAAAGCCAGCCTGTCTTGGTAATAATTATTAAATCAAAATAATTAACTCTTTGGGCAGAGGGCCCAGAGGATGCTGTTCATGGGGGAGAGATTCTCTCTTGCTTCCATTGCCAAGGGGCTTCCATGAAAATGCAGACTCGTGTGAGTTCCTTCTTTCTTCTTCTTTGCCATGCCCGACGGGGAGGAGGGGAACCTTTTCTTTCCCAAATATTTCAGTTTTATGGCAGAAAGCACTGCTTGGGCAAACCCCACATTAYGTGAAGGAAGGTGGGGAAGGGAACACTCTGACAAGGGACTGTTTGAGTCAGTACTGGGATCCCTCTGTGAGGAGAGATCCCTGAGGAATGTTGGGGTGTTCCTGGAKCTGGGTAACCTTGCTGGGCTCCAGGCACTGTGGAACAGCCACAGGAGAGGCTCATAGAGCCCAGAGTGCTGGTCTGTGTTCACATTCAGAATTAATGAAACCATAAACAGTGAAATGCTGTGAGTGCCTTCTCTGGAGTTGTRGGAGGAAAGGAAATGGGTCACAGCTCAGCCACCCAGTGAGGCTGTGCACAGGGAGACAGAGCTGCCCTCCCTTCTTGTTTTCAGAGTTGGGACATGAAATCACACCTGATTTACAGGGTCTTCCCCAGAGGATGCTGGCACTGCCCAGGCTCCCCAGGGAATGGTCCCGGCCATTGGTCTCCCCCAAGGCTGCCAGAGCTCCAGGAGCGTTTGGACAGCACTGCCAGGGATGCCCAGGGGGGATTGTTTGGGGGGTCTGGGCAGGGCCAGGGGTGGCACTGGATGATCCTTGGGGAGCCCTTCCAACTGAGGATATTCTGTGATTCCATGATTCTCTGGTTTTGYGTTCCTCTTCTGGGGTAGTTTGATGTGAGCTCTGCAGGAGGGGCTGGGACCCACCAAAGCTGCCTGGGGGTGCCCTGGGTGCCCCAGGGCTCTGTTCTCTGCTGGGGAGGCTCAGCACATTTTACTGCCCAAGATCTTCTCTCGAGGATTTGGTGTCTCTGTGATGGATTCTTTTGGGTGGCTTTTTTGTAAATCCTGAGGAGCCCTATGGCTGTGAACTTCTCTGGACATGCAGTTCTTCCTTATTTCTTTTCTTTTTTTCCCCTCCTCTGTATCTCCTTTTGTCTGACTCTTCCTTCCATCCCTCCCCTCTCCTATCCAGGCTGACAGGCTTCACCTCTGCTGAGTTAAAATGTCACCACTGTGACTGATTGGACACATCCAGCACAGATTTGTCAGTCCTGTGTCCCATCCCTTCTCTCAAGAAGGAATTTGTTTGGGGTGCAATGGCTTCAAACTAGTTTGGTTTCTTTTTAACACTTAAAAATCTAAAAATCGCTCARTTTGATTGAAAAAAAAGCAAAATCAGCTGCAATTAGACATCTAAAGAGCTTTCAGAGCTGGGGCCTTTGTGTCTCTGCATTTCAGTTCTCTTTACAAACTGCACTTCTCTGACAGCAAAAATGGGAGCTGCATAATTATCCCCCTGAAGAGCTGGGGCTGGGGGGATTGGAAGCATGGAATAATCTACTTTAGAATTTACTCCAGGAGCTGTCATTTCTGAGAAGCTTTAATTACACTGTAATTGCACTGATAGATGATCTCCTGTCTGTGCAGACACTTCCCATCCCTKCTTTCCAAAGGATTTCAGYCTCTTTCTATCAAATGCGGGCAMAGTCRCTGCCCTTTGTGCTGGACCYGAAGTCACAGATTGGAGGGGTTTTGCATTTTGGAGTGGCAGAGCTGTGCCTGACAGCCCYGTGCTGCTGGGGTCTGTGTCAGCAGAGATGAACAGCTGAGAACTGGCTGCTCTCGTGTCAGCAGTGATCCTGATGACATGTCCAGAGCAGCTCTGGCTGCCCCTGGATCCCTGGCAGTGCCCAAGACCAGGCTGSACRGGGCTTGGAGTGTCGTAGGACAGTGGGAGGTGTCCCTGCCATGGCAGGGGGTRACACTGGATGATCTTCAAGGTCCCTTCCAAYCCAAACMATCCCTTGTTTCTTTAATTTGGATGCTCTCAAGGTGTTGCAGCTCTGTGGATCAAATGTGGAGTATTTTGATATCAACCCCATCAAGTGATTTAATGATTTATATTCATCCTGCCATTGGGTGCAAAGCAGGGCAGATCTGGCCTGGCACTRTCTGGTGTTGGTGACCCTGCTCCTGACACTGAGAGAGGTTTGTCCCTTGTGGTGACAAAGGAAGATCAGCAGGAGGGGAAGGGGAGAAGTGTTGCCCATTCATCTTCACAGTTTTCAGTTTTCCCAGGTGTAATTCAGAATTCCCAGGTGCTTCCAAGCCCAGGTGTAATTCAGAATTCTCTGTGTGTCCTGCATTTCCCTGCCCAGCTCCTTCCCAGCCACACAGGAGCCAGGTTTTAGCAGATCAGGACAGCCACGCACACAGCAAGTCCTGAGAGCTGCCAGGAGACTCTCGAATGAAGAGCTTTGGAAACCTTCTCACCTTCCATGCAGGGAGAATTTCTGGGAGAAAGCCAAAATGGTGAATATGCAAATCTCCAAAAACTCTTAGAATTGTATCAGCACACTGTGGGTCACCTTTGTCTCCTTAAGGGAAGGAGAACAAGTGTCACTGGGATGGGTTGAGTTGGAAAGGAATGATCTCTGCTCCTGACAGGGGGGTGCAGCCAGGTGGGGTTGGGCTCTGCTCCCAGGTGACAAGTGACAGGAGAAGAGGAAATGGCCTCATATTGTGCCAGGAGAAGAGGAAACGGCCTCAAATTGTGCCAGGAGAAGAGGAAACGGCCTCAAATTGTGCCAGGAGAAGAGGAAACGGCCTCAAATTGTGCCAGGAGAAGAGGAAACGGCCTTAAATTGTGCCAGGAGAAGAGGAAACGGCCTCAAATTGTGCCAGGAGAAGAGGAAACAGCCTCAAATTGTGACACGAGAGGTTTAGATTGAGTATCAGGAAAACAGCTTTTACTGAAAGGGCTCTCAAGCCCTGGCACAGCTGCCCAGGGCAGTGGTAGAGTCACCATCCCTGGAGAGGTTCAAAAACGTCTGGATGTGGCACTTAGGGACATGGTGTTGTGGTGAGTTGATGGTGGTGGTGCTGGGTCAGCAGCTGAATTTGGTGATCTTAAAGGGCTTTTCCAACCTTAATGATTCTGGGAGTCTCTGCCATAGCACAGGAAAGGGCTCAGTGGTGCTGACCTTGGAGAAGACCTTGCACAGGAAGGTGCACAGTACAGAGCTGTTGCTCGGCTGCCAATGTCCCATCATGGAATGGTTTGGGTGGAAGGGACCTCAGAGTTCATCTCAGAATCAGGGAACAGGAATATCCTGAGCTGGGAGGACCCCTGGAGATCGTCAATACAACCCCAGCCCTGCCCAGACACCCACCAATCCCACCCTGTGCATCCCTGGCAGCGCTGTCCCAGTGTTCCTGGAGCCCCTTGGGGCTGTGCCCATCTCCTGGGAGCCTGGGCAGTGCCATCCCATCCCATCCCATCCCATCCCATCCCATCCCATCCCATCCCATCGCATCCCATTCCCCGTGAGCCATGGGCAGGGTCACCTTTTGCTACCCCAGGTTGCTCCAAGCCCATCCAGCCTGGCCTTGGGGAAATCTTGGTGCTCCTTCCTTGTGCGAGGAAGAGCGGGATGGGGAGGGCTCTGTGGGGTTCCCGTGTTCAGGGAGAGGAGCCAGCCCYGGCTGGGAGGGAGCAGCTCCTGACGCACTGGGCAGCCCTGGGAGGGGATGGTGCTGCAGGAAGGGATGTTGCCCACACWCCCTGCTGTTCATGCCTCACTTTCACACCTATCCCTGCTCCTGGGCTGCTGCCGGCAGGGTGGGCAGTGCCAGGATGCTGCCAGCTCCCTGGGGATGCTTGGCTCAGCTCTTGCTGTCTATTGCCACCCCAAGAGGAGCCCTCCTGGAGGAATCTGCTGCTGCTGATTCCATCCTTAGGAAAGAGAGAAACCTTCCAGCACCTTCCCTGAAAGATCCAGGGCTTGTGCCAGCTTTTAGGATGTGAGCTCTGCTTTCCAAGGCCTCCCTTTTTTGGCCTCACACTCACCAGGCAGTGGTGGGAGATCCTGGTGCTGCAAACCCCCAGGGTGTGTCAGCACCAGCCCAGGCTGATCCTGTTTCCTCAGCGTTACTGAAGGGAAATGACAATTGRGGGCCTTTCATGATTCTGAGATTAGGTAAGTGACCTGAAATCACAGAAACAAGGCTGAATCATAGACAAGTCATAGAAAATAGGGCTGAGAGGATCGTGGGAGTGCACCTAATTCACCTTCCGTTTGAGGACACCTCTGCGTGTATCTTCCGTTTGCAGGCTCTTCTCCCTAGTGATGGATGTTCCCTCCTTCCCACAGGCATTCTGTTCCCACTCCTTGTTTTCCTGAAGCTTAATTTGAATTTTTGTACTGTGGTTAAAACCAGCAATTCTTTGTCCTAAACCTGAATGTTTACATTTCCTCAAATTTATCCTTTAAATACACAAAATCTCCCACCAGGGTGGTTCTATGCCTCTTTGGTCCTTCTGTGCTAAACCCAGAATTCCTCTGAGTCAMATTTGCTGGATTTTTGATCTTTCCTGTTCTTCCCTGCACTGACTCACATTCCCACTTGAACTGCAGTGCCCTGGCTGTGTGAGATGCTCAGAGAGGTAGAAATGTATTGGGGATTTTGTCTTGCAGTTTTCCTGCTCCTGTGCCCTTTCCTATGAAAACATGGACTTACCTCATGTCAGCTGGAACTCCTGGATCTCTTTAGCACCAGGGTCAAATCAGTTTTTAATTCTTCATTAATCAACTGTTTCTGCCCAAATGCAGAATTTGGCATTTGTTCTCACTAAATTAATCCCTTTTTTCTTTCCCTTTGTTACCTTTGTGGCTTCTTGAGGCAGAAGTAGGATAGCAATGGCCAACCATGAAGAGAAAGAAATGAATGGACTCCAAAACCCAGTGGAATGGAAGCATCTAAGTTTTGAAAARCCTGGTAGCCACCCCTCACTCTGCTGCTGGTTACAGACCTTACTGGCCTAAACAAAAACTGACTTTGTTCTGATAAAAATGAAAGTAARCATCAAAATACTCCAGCAGAGCTGTGTGGGGCTTATCTCTGTGCAGGAGGGGTGGCAGGGAAAGGAGTGTGACCCCGTGGGGCTCCCTGGACACCCAGGGAACACCCTGTGCACCTTCCCTGTCCCCTGCATGTCCCAGGCGGTGCAGCCAGAGGAGCCCATGTGCTGGTGGCCTGTGTTTGTTCTGAGGAGGGGTGGGCTGGGGCTTTGGGGCTCCATCGTTTCATCGTTCAACCGGGCTGGGACTGGCTGTGTTTGACTTGGTTCAGCGCAGATCCAAGGGATGGAGGGAGCAGGCTGCTTTGGGAGGTGCTGCTGGGAAAGCCAAGTCCCACAGGGCAATGAATTCCATGAATCCCATGGGTTTGGTGCATTTTCTGAGGACTGGTGGGGTTATCCTCTAAGTGGAGGTGGAGGAGGATGTGGTGCTGGGTGGGTGCTCAGCAAAGGCCAGTGGGGAACACATGGGTCCTGCAAGGGGTTGTGGCAGGGTGCAAAGGAGGGGAATGTTGAATCACAGAACCAGCCAGGTTGGGAAAGACCTTTGAGATCTTCAAGTCCAACCTGWGACTTGACACCACCTYRTCCCCCAGACCRTGGCACCGAGTGCCACATCCAGGCTTTGCTCTCACGCTGTTATCGCTCTTCTGCTTTAACCTCCCGATTCCTGCTGAGCAGCCAGGCCTTGGGCCGGGCTCACCCTGCTGCAGGAAGGGCTGTGCCTGCCCAGGTGACACTGCTGTGCTCTGTGTCCCCCAGGAGCCCTAYTATGTGCGCTGCATCAAACCCAAYGACAAGAAGTCTCCSCAGCTCTTCGACGAGGAGCGCTGCCGGCACCAGGTCGAGTACCTGGGGCTGCTGGAGAACGTGCGGGTGCGCCGGGCCGGCTTCGCCTACCGCCAGACCTACGAGAAGTTCCTGCACAGGTGAGAGCTGCCAGGGACTCTGCTCAGGGTGTGGGTGATTTAAATCAGCTCCTGGATGAGCTGAGACATGGATCCCACAGGACCATGGATGCTCTTGGTCACCTGTGGCAAGGTGCTTGTGCTGCTCAGGCTGATGCCTTAGGATTTTTTGTTTCTCTGTTTTTATGTATCTTGTATTTCTCCAGTGCAMAGCACTAAAGCTGCTGCTCTCCCATCTTCACACAAAACAATTCCTCTCTGAGCCTGAAATCCAAGGACACTTTGCTGCCTCAGAGCCCCAAAATATGGAAACAACAGAGAATTGGGGGGAGCAAGCTTGGGGTGGGTGCCATCATCACCTGAAGGTGTCATAGGAGAATTGGGGCCTGATGTGTTCATGAGACAGAACTGATAAAAGGGGAAGATCTCATGACTCGGGGTCCGTTTTGGGTGCATCCTCAGAAGGAGGCTTTATCTGCCCTCAGTATAGCAGTAGACCTGGATTAAATCTGTCTGCTTTTATTCTCTTCACTTTGTCTGGCCTCCATTTCRGGTGAGCCTTGGTTTAGGCATCAAGGCTCATCCCCTTGTCTGCTYGAACTCGTTGGCTGTGTTGCTCTGCAGCAGGAATGTGTAATGAGGTGCTTCCCCAGAGCATCACCCTAAAACCTGAGCTAATTAAGTGGTGTTTTCTCTTTGAATTGTCTGATTGTTGCAGCCAGAGAGACACACAGCCGTGGTGTGTCTGGGGGAGCACGTAGTGGTGCACGGTGACATTATGTGGGAAAAATGCCCATGATTTTAAAACTGAAGTCTGAAAAGGGAATATTATCATGACCCCATTAAATATGGGTTTGATACTTCTTACCCTTGTAATTCCTACCAGACTTGTGACAAATTACATGTTTTAGATTGAAATTTGTCTTAGGGCTTCAGTGAATTAATGTGAGCSCTACGAGTTCTGATAGAACAGCAAATGGAGTTTTTGTTCGGTTACTGAATCAGGTGAGGAAAGGGCTGTGAGAGTAGAAAAAAATTAAACTATCCAAGCAGGTGGGATGTCATGAGTTGAAACAAAGTGCTGGTGAAAGAGGTTCTGCTGTTCACAGTGGAGATTTGCCTGGGTGTATCATAATACCCAGGTTGGAATGAAAGGCTCTGGCTCCCTAAATCCAGCCTGCAGTGCTGGGGATCAGTTCCCTCAACCCTTCTGCAGTGGATACAGTGTGCTTTCACCTCACATGTGGAATTCATTACRATTTACTCTTAAGATTTGTTTAATCACCATTAATATAAACAGCTGCCTTGTTTTTAATGAATGTTTGATGAGCTCCTGTGAGCTCCAGCCCGGCAGGGTTTGCAGCCAGGAAACCAAATCAGCACATGGCAACTGCTGCAGCTTTTGGGCTCTGGAACAGGAGTCCTGCCCAGCCCTGCAGTGGGATTAGATATCCACAGTGAGGGATCAGACACCGTTTGCATGTGTGGGGTTGTTCCATGCCTGGTCTGCAATGGCTTTTCTAAATTAAAAYAAAGGAGAAAAATATTCTTCTGGCCTGGATATTGTTTTCAGGTTTTTTTCAATAATTCCCTATTTGTTGTCTTTGGGTGAGCCATTCCCTCTTAGGGGCAGGGAGATATGATCTGTGGTACAAGCTGCCCATTTCTGAGCTGTTTTGAGCAGGGATCACACAGGATTTCTGTTCATTTCTATTTATTGGGAGACTGGGAATGTGGAGGAGACTCAGGCCCTTCAGCTCTGACTCCTGCACTGCGTGTGGGGCAGGTTTGAATTTTACAGATCTTGAGTAACTCAGCAAGAGGTGATTTTGGGATGTGACTTTGTCATCTGTTTGCTTATATTGACAAAGATATTACAAAGTTCAGGCCCACAAACAGATATTTCACTCCCTGACAGGCCCTTGAGGCTTTCAGGTGTTCTGAGCCCAGAACAGATCCCTGGGCTTTTGTTTTGCTGATTCCTCTTAGGGGGCAGGAGATCGAAATTAGGATATATAGAGATAAGAGATAACACACACAAATATGAGTATGTATGAGTTCATGTATGTCTGGGGTTTATCTGTCTGTGTATATAAACCACAAAAAAATAACTTCTCTTTCTCTAGGARAAGAGTTGGCTGATATTTAGCCCTAAATCCTGTAAGGCAGTTGATACCTCCCCTCTCTCAGTAGGGAATGAAGTGAAGCACAGTTAAGACCATTGTAAATGTCCTTTCCAAGCTTTCCTTGGATAAAGCAAACCTTCCTTTGAGCTCTGTGCAAGCCAGGCTGCCCTTTCCAATTTGAAATATTTTCTGTTGAACCAGGAGAAGTTGTCCCTTCCCATAGTCAGAGCATCATCCAGTTGGGTGACACTTAGACAGATGGGGTGCATTCCCTTGCTTTAATAGATCAGTTACCAGCAAAAAAAAAACACCCTGATTGGGTTTCAGGAAGGGGTTTGTGAGTGTAACCCAACCCTTTCCGCAGGGAGGCATCCCCATGCCTATTTCGTGTCAAACATAGCATGGAATCAACACTGAGAGCTGTGAACAGCTGGCTGGGAGGGGACAGGGTGGCCCAGCTGCAGCTGCACACCCAATATTGCTCATTAAAGCTTTAGCATTTAGTGGCTTGCAGGAATCTTGGTCTTTAGGAGWGCTGGAGTGGGAATTGTTAACTCCCTGAGCCCCATCCATGTCGGGCATTTCCATAGGGAGGCGCAGAGGGGAAGGAGAAACAAAGRTGGTTGGAAATGGATGTTCCATGTGAGAGTGACCTTGGAAGCTGTGGGGCTCTGCAGGCAGGACAGGGGCAGGTCTGTGGTGTCAGGAGCAGGTTTATTCCAGYCTCTGCCTGCCTATAATTAGCAGCAGGCTGGGATTGTGAGTGGCTGTGGCATCCAGGCGCTGCAGGGAAGGAGTTGGTGGCATTGGGTGCCACGTGCTGTGGGGGCAGC